TATGAGACCAAACGACAAATGTGTATTTCATTTATCCCTGTTCTCCTGTTAATTTTCATGGTGGTGGAAAGGTTACGGCAGCTCACCTTCTGACTGCAGGTACATCCCTTGCTCCCACCTCCGCTGGTACTGAACGTTTCCAATCCCAGACTTGTGGCCAGAGTTTAGAAACAATTATCTGGAGGGTAAAGTACTTTGCTAATCTCATAACACTGCATTGAAAACACTCGTTTTTTCTTTTCAGTGAATCTCTGAAGAACCAGCTATAACTTCTCAGTATTTGGAGAGGCATGGGAAGTTGAATATGAGTCTTGTCAAGAGACAAGCCTTAAACCAAGATGGGGCATCTGACATAGAAATTGAGGTGCTTGTATTGTGTCATGTTTATTAACCTGTTTCGGGAAGCAGCATTTTTTTGTAAACAAACCAACCTGAACTATAAGGTAGCTTTTGTTTGCAGGAGTGCCACCAAGGCTAATGCAAAATGAATTTAAAACAAAAGTAAGCTAACAAAACCAACAAATCCAAGCAAACAAATGTATTCTGTTTTTGCTTCTTCCCTTTGAATGGGGTTTTAGTGTTCAATTTTTCTTGGCTTTTCTGCATTGTGTTGCTGCAGGCAATCTCTCTGACCTTCAAGAACGGGGTGGAAGATTAGGGTTTTGTTTCCAGATTGACTACAGCCTAAACATATGTCCTTTGATAACTCAAACTATTTGTCGTCATTTCCCTGCAGCAGCTTTTTCTCCTGAGTGGCTTAGTGATTGTCCTGGGATTCTGAGGGTTGGGTTGAAGTCTGCTTTCTGGATATGAAGTTGTGTAGTGTCATCTGTTAGGTTCCTATTTGATTAAGAACAAATTTATGCAAATGATACCTAAGAATAACTCTCCTCAGGTATGTTCCTTTAGTTCTGTCTGAAGTTATTAAATTATATTTATGTGGGGAACATCAATTAAAACTTCCCAGCCTACTCAGACAGATAAAGTTATTAAAATTAACCTCCTGCTCAGGAAAATTAAAAATCCTTTGGAAAGTATGTTCTAAAGGGTTCACAGCCACAACACAGACAAGTTTTCTGGAGCTTATCACCTGTTTCTGTACCCAGTTTTCAAAGCAGGCTTAGGCATGGAGGTCAGAGACTTGTTGGAGTCGCCGAGCGCACGTCCCTAAACCACCAGCCACTAACGTGTTCCAGAAAACTTCTCTGTCCTCAGACTGCTCTTCTCTTCTCCCCATTTGCAGCTGAATAGCTGGCTAATTACAGCATGGAAAAAAATTGGTCTTGATCCTCACCCCGGTCCCTAACAGTGCAGAGAACAGATCAGCGTGTTAGCCAAGAGCTCAGCAAGTGCCAGCGGCTTTGCAGATTGGGCTCTTGGTCTTTGCGCTTTGGTCTTAAGAGTATGGGCATTATCTCTCTCTTATTAAAGTGCTCAGACTTTAATAGGAGCTTTAAAGTACGTGAGCCAGATCATCTGCTGTGCAAGGTCCATGCCAGGCTGCAGAAGGAGATGTTTTCTCAAGCTGCTCCACTTAAAGGTACAAAGCTGTGAGTTGCGGTGCACCAGCTGTGTCGCCAGATCTGAGAAAAACCTGCCCTGCAGATACCCAAAGGCATAAACCCTTACCAGCAACTGTAACACCTGCTCTGCATTCTCACTAATGTTTCTGGATGGAGCTCCTGCACAGATCAAGCACGCAAGGTTAGTATAGCTGCCTGAAAACAAATGCACAAACGTGACATCGTTGTCTTGGATTCTCTACTCAGTCCTACAGAAAAATAAGCCATGTAGAAAATGATTAGCCAGGGGCACAAAGGGTGGAACCAAAAGGCTGATAATTTACCTGAGATTTATTAATATTTGGGTAATAAAAAAGATACAGTTCTGAAGACCAGGAGGAGTTGTGCTCTTTTTTGTAGCATGCCTTATTTTCTTTTACCTACAGCCACATAGAAATAGATTTCTTTATCTAACTTATTATCTACTGAAACAAGCTGTTTAAATCATTATGTATAAAGAAGCTTTGTGTTGATTTTAGTGTATTTTTGAGACTTTAAAATGCACTGGTCATTCTCCAGGGTCAGTTGACACATTGGTCAGAGGAAGCAGGGAAGTCTGGTTCCAACATAAATCTGACCAGGAGATGGCAGCCTTGATGCACGCAAGGAGTATCTGAAAATAAAAATGCTTTTTCCCAAACCGACAGAGGAAAAGAAATTACCTTCATTTAATGGGAAGATTATCTAGGTATTGCTAAGTCAGTATAATGTTAACAAAATAATCCCATTTTAGCTTTTGTCTCTAACTGGCTAATGCAAGTCAGTTGAATTAAAAATGTACGTAGGTTTGCATCTGAACACTTGAGTCACAGGCTTGGCCTGGTAATGATTTAAGACAATGACTTTGAAATTCAGTACTCCTCTCCTTCTTGTTTGTGTTTTTGTTCAGAAGCGTTTGTAGTGTTAAAAGACTGGACAGATAATAGATGGTAATAGTCACTTTGGTTTACCTGCTGTGTAAACAAATAATAGCAATGCTTTCAGCTGCAAATTAGGGTTTTACTCAAGCTTAGAGCTAAAACTCCTTGAGCTTCTTTTTCATCGTTTCTTTCCTGCCCATGTAGTACATGTATGTATACCTGTGAGATGGACTGAAAACTGGAGAATTGTGTTAGCAGACAGGGAGAATAAGGAAGGACTTCATAGGGTGGTACTCATTGATGCCCTGAACTTGGTCCGTAGGATCTTCATTCTGGATTTCTGGTCCTGTCGACAGGCAGGAATTGTGCTCGGCTCCAGAGCTAGCTCGGAGGAGTGAGCATGGCCCTGTCAATTGGGTGCTGTTGTCGGATGCCTTAATGAGGGCTGAGGCAGCTGAGGGCCTGCTTCTGAACCCTCTGCATTGCTGGCTACGCAGTTGTTTGACAGAAGCTCGTCACTGGGCCATCCCTCAAACCAGCAGGATTCACCAGGACTGGCTGAGTTTGGCAGGTTGTGTCGCACTCTTCTGTGGCAAGCTACAGGCTACACCTATGTGAACAGCAGTGAGTAAAAAGTAACCTGTTGGGTTAGACTGGGTACGATTCTTTGCACCCATCTGTCCCAGCCTGCAACTTTATTTCACCTTGTGTGTTGGTGAGACGTGATAATGGCCTTCCTACTTCCCTTCTAAAGAGCGGCATTGACTGACATCAAAAGGCTGTTTGAATCCTTATTGCTGGTAAGGTGCCCCTGTAGAAGCAAGCAATTAAGGTAGCACGCTGTAAGTTTGGGTGCACGCTGGAAATGTCAGCGTGCAGCCTGACGTGGGCAGTTGAGGCTCGCAGCCTTTCTAGCCCCTGAAGTGCCCCATGGAGGCAATCTGACGGAGGAGCCTGGCTGACACGAGCCTTTAATTCCTTTCATAACAGCACAATGTAATCACTGCTTTTGTTCTTGTGCAGCCAGAGATTCCCTTCTAAGCTCAAATTCAAATGGGAGAAACATCAAAGTTAGTTTGAAATGCAAGGCACCCCAAGTAGTCCGGGGAAATGGAGCCATCGCTTTGTAGCCACCCTTCTCTTGCCGAACCAGCAGCACCCAGGTGTCAGAAAGCCACGCCGCCTTCTTTGTCTGCTCGTGGCCGACTAGATTGTTTTCATCCCAGCCTTTTTAAAGTTTTCCTCCTGCCTCCATATTCTTAAGGAATAAAAAGCTAATATAAGGACAGGGGGTGTTATGAAGCATGAAGTTCTATAAATATTTATGCTGAACTATCAAAAAACTTGACAGTTCTTATTTTCTTGACATATTGGGGTCACTTGTTATTTTTGACCCTGAGGATTGAAGAGCACATGGAGTTATATCTGTTTGTAATGACTTCTGGATATTGTTGTCTGGTAAACTTGTAGGAATATAACAGGATAACAGACTTTTTCTTAGTCTCTGCGAAAATGGAACTTAAACTTTACACAGTGTTACCCGCGAGTGATCATTCAAGTTACATCGCACTTGTGTGTCTGTGTCTGGCACTGAATTCCTGAATTTCAACTCTTGGTGGCATACATGATCACCTTTCCTGCTAGAAATCAAATTCACCGCAGTGGGTTGCTCGCCCCAGCCCAGGAAGGGACTGAAGAAAACCGAAAGCCTAGCAAAGGGCTGTGGCATCTCCGGTGTTGTGCCACCAGTCCCAGCACTGTTTTAAGTATCCCTGGGATCAGCTGAAGACAACAACTTCTCCTAAAAGTTTACGTGCTGGTGAACAGGCATTTTGTAGAGATGAGGCTCATAACTCTGACACCTCAGTGTCCTCGTTTCTCAGAATTACGTGCATGCAGTCTTAACTCTTACCTGAAATTGTGGTGGCAGGTGAGCATTTTAAAGCCAGGTTTAGCTATTTCATAAAAGCTAGAGATTTATGGCAGTAGCCACATTATTTCGTCCAGCTACAAGGGCCTTTCTTGCCTAGTTAAGTTCATTACATAGAAAAGAATCAGTCTGATGCTTCACCTTGAATGAAGTCCGGTGTGTTTTAAGGTAAACCTTGAGTGTGTTGTGTGCATCTAACACTAACTGGAGCGCCTTTTGCTGTCAGTCACTAGAGGGCACAATGGAACTATCTACGAAATTTGTTCTTCAAGTCCCAGATCTGCAGATTAGATCTGTGAAAGTAGGGGAGATTTTCCTGTAGCTGCCAAAAAACAGGATGGCTTCAAAATTTTGGTTTCATCAATGATTTGTCTCATCCAAACCTACTTCTGTTTTGGAGGTTAAAAACTGAAGTGTTATTATCAAGGGTGCTTAATTTTCTGTTAGTACAGTTTCACCTTCTGGAAGCATGTAGCTCTGAGAGCAAACACATAAGCGCCTTATAAACAGCTTTTAAGTTCAACTCATATAATTACAAAAATTATTTCCTGGTTTCTCAGGTTTCTGTACTGGGAACAAACTCCAAATGCGTCAGCTGTATGAAGGCAGCAAAAGGAATTGCTCCCTGATTGTATCGCTCTTTTGCAGGTTGCGTGCCTCATAAGGGTTCCATCTGAAGTTGTCAAGCAAAGGGCCCAAGTTTCACCTTCTGCAAGTACCTTTCGGATTCTTTCCCACACCTTGTACCATGAGGTGAGTTCAGAGCAAAATTTCAAAGAAGTTGCTTCATTCTTCCCACTGATGCTGTACATGTGCAGAAGCATTACTACAGTTTTATTCTTTCTCAGCACTTTTCCAAAAATTCTTCTGTTCCTGGAAGCAGTAGGCATGTTAATGTTTAAGGGAACCAAACCCCACACCTTCCCCATGTGTGTGCACTTAAATGCGCACACGTGCAAACTTTAAACAACTTTTTCCTCCTCCTTTTATATTGGGCACCTACATAAGAGGAGGAAAAAAAAAAAAGTTGTGAAAAGATCTACTTGGATATATCTAAACAGCCCTTGTCTGTGACAGCAGGACATCAAGACCCTGTATCTGAGGTTTGCTGGCTGGTTTTTAGTTTTTGAAGGAGGTTTCGGGGGAGATATCCCAAAGGCTTCAGAGAGGCTTCAGGAGAGAAATGAATGCACTTCCAGTATCGGTAACTTTTGAAAAATCAGGATTTTTGTCATCTCTTCAGTACTGTTTCTTTCTGGAAAACCTGCATGCCACTGCTTTTACTGCGTCTCAAAAGGGGCATTTCTCAAATTCTATCCCATAAGAGAAAGTGACTCCTGAAGATACTGTGGGGAAAAATGTTATACAAGTTTCCATGTATAAATGCCAGGAAAAGGAGGACATATATATGACCCTTTAATGATTCAGTTGTTTTTTTAGTTGCTTGCAAATGAATACTATTTTGATAACCCTGTATGAGAGGGTCCCTGGAACTTCACTCTGTGATTTGGTCGTTCTGCTCTAAAAGCTGGTGCTCTCCAGATTGTACTCTTTTCTCCTTTGTAGCTGACCAAAGAACTGTAGGATTTGATAAACATCCAAGAAACTGTCCTGTAAGATATTAAACCTAATTTTATATGTACATTTAAAAAGAATTCTTAATTGTTTTTCATATTATTAGCTGGTTAAAAATACAAAATATATTCATAAAAGCTGTGAATCAAAGGTAAGGGGTTGGATGTAAGTTGTCATCCTGTGTGTTCACTTTAGGTAGGCTGCTTAAGCAGAAGAGGAGTAGTTTCAAAATATATGGAGGATAATGGATGCTTGCCCAGGATTAGTCAAGCAGAACTTGGAGTAATGTGTTTCTGTGCTATCTTTTAATTTTAACTGTAAGGTATATTTTCTTCTCTGTAACTGATTATTGTGAACAGTGTTTAAATGCTTTTTGAAATGAACATAAAACTGCCCAGCACTGTAAATCACTGAATACAGTATACAATGCTATAATCAATATAGTCAATTTGTAAGAAGTCAGGTCTGACACTAAGTAAGGCTGCACTGCTTGCCTTGTAATCACCAATAAATTGTGGTCTTTGACAAACTAATTCCCTATAGCTGATGCTTTCTTTTGTTGGTTTACAGGGTATTCAAGGACTTTATCGGGGTTATAAAAGCACGGTATTAAGAGAGGTAAAACACTTATCTTTCCTTCTTTCTTTTTTTTTTTTTTTTAAACATTGATTCCTTTCCCTCACTTTTTTTCTGTTCACTAACAAGAGGTGGTGGTAGTACTAGTAGAACTGAGATCAGTTGCCCTAACCATAATCTGTAAATATTAGCATATTTCATTCCAGGTAAGTTACCAGCCTGTAATTTAAATAATTACTGATGACATGCCTTAGAGAAATCTATGATACATGCAAAAAGTCAGCTACCTTCCTGCCTCTTAATTTTGTTGCTGCTAAATTGTAAAAGAATGGAAATATATGTATTAACACAATGAAAACCATAAAATTAAAGCACTGGAAACTTCAAGTCTCGTGGTTGCATCATGTGAAGTATGTAATTCAACAATGGTGAACTGGTGGCATCAGGCCAAGTTTGGCACAGATTTAGGCTTTCTTTAAATGTGTTTGTCAGCAGATGCCAAGAGATTATCTGTCATCTGTATATAGGGAGGATTGTGTGCGCTTTTTTTCTCCTGAATGTGTGAAAGAAATGCATTTAGTCATCCAGCCTGTGGATCTGATATGGCATTACTTAACTGCAAATCAGAAGTACTTCACTGGTGGGAAAAATGGAGCTAAAAATATTTTGGCCTGCTTGGCAGTAAATAGTTTCTAAACTTAAAATCTCTTCATAAACAGACTACCAATTTTAGGATTAGTGTCATGGAAGTGTTTGATATGCTGTGTGGACCGAAGGCATTACAAAAGAAATAGAAAAGTTCTTCTGTTGGCTTTTGTGACCCTGGTTTGGACCCACTGAAAGTGGTGGGCGGGCAGAGGCTCTGATCTTGCTGTGTTGTTTTCATGGCTTCGGTTATGGATTTAGTTTGTGCTCAGTGCTGGCACTCTTCTTGTGCATCTGGAACTGTGGCACCTGAGACCTGCCCGCAGCAGTCCCCATGCAGGCTGACGGCCTTCATAGGTCTGACTTTTAGATCTTTAAATGACATCTGTGTGACTTCTCAACAGCTCTCATTTAGGACATTTGATTGCCCCTATGATTTCCCTGAACCTTTAACTTTTTTTTTTTAAATTCAAAAATTTCCTGACATTAATGTTTTTATAAAATGTACATAGTCTTCTCTAAGCTGTTTCAGATTAGCCAGTGGACAGATTTCTTTTGGCCTTTAACATACACTGATAAACTCCCAATCCAAAACAGCTTAAAAATCACATCACAGGTGGTAGATCATCTTTTGACAAAGCAGAATTTTCTCCATGAGTACCTCAAATAAAGAGGCAAGGCTTGATTCGTATGAAAACATAGCAGCTATTTTTCAGAAAGGGTTATTTACTTACAGTGTTCAGTGTGGCACACGGGGGTTTGTTCTCTCCTTACATAGCTCAACTGAATAAACTAGGTTTAGATCTCTGCTTTTTTTTCATTTTTTTTCCCTCCAGATTGGTTGGATGTGTTGCCATTGATAACACAGGTAGTTGCAGAGGCTTTTTAAGCCTTCCTTCAGTAGCTCTTCTTTAAAAAGCCTTTCTTTTTGCTGCAAACTATTTTTAGGGCACTTAGGTTAGCCAGTTCTTGTTACAACGTAGGATAAAGATGGATATTACCTAAAATAAGAAATCCCAAAGTGCTGAAAAATGACAGTGCACTTCAGTTTATTTGAGCAGTTCTGAGTGTTTCAAAAATTAGTTGCTTTTGCAGAGATGACACCTGCTTTTCTGAAATGTATCCCGCACCATAGCTTCATCCTGTACTTATTTTCTGGCTCACTAAACACATGTTATTCACTCAGATTTCATTTGGCGACGGGCAAAAAAAAGGCCAACGAGTCATTTTGATTTCTCTGAGGGGTTCTGAATAAATGAATAAATTTAGGTGCCATTGAATACAGATTTTGCATACTAACAGGTAGATAAAACACACGGTTACAACTGGGTGCTGTTCTCCTTAAAATTTGTTTTGACATATGTCAGGGTGGTAATTAATTTGCAGACCATATTCATGGCATAGTGTGTGACCCTGCTGAGATAACTTTGTTTACTCAAAATGGCAGCACTTTGTTGGAAATTTAATGGGGGTCCTCTCCATTATGTATATTCATAAAAGATCCTTCAGAACTGATTTCTGTTGAAGTATTGCTTTTCAGGGGAACCTGTCCGATAGAATGAGAAATAAATGATCACCAAATGAAATGTGCTTTCTTTTCAAAATGAAACAAATCATAAGTGATGTCTTTAAAAATAAAATAAAAAAAATCTTTGAATTTAACAGCCAGTTAAGGCCATTGCATTTTCAGACACTAAATACATAAAGCAATATCCATGCAAGTAGGAGCTGCATGCTGAACCTCCAGCTGGAACCACTCTAAGCCTGATGTTTAATCTTGATATTTTCTCCTCTATTGAAATACACTTCCTTTAGGGAAAGTCTTTATTTTCAGATAAAAATCTATATTAATTTGTTATTGGACACATCCAGGTAGCTGCATGACATCTGTAGACTCCAGCTGAATTTTACGCTTATAGAGTTCATTTGTATGTTTTGTTTTTTTATTTAGACAAAACCCTTTGTTTAGTTACAGCAGAGCGGGATTTTGGGTAAAATGGTTTCAATGAACAATTTTTCATTTAAAAAAAAAAAACAATAATGGAAGAGGCTGTGGATATTGATGCTTCGAAGATGGCGATGTTCTTGCACAGACAAAATTCTTGAGCCAGATTTTGAGATGTTGGTTTTAGCTGTTGCATCAGGGTAAAATTTTGCATATTACATAAAGCAGGTATCAGTGCCTGGACAGAGATCTGCTTGCCAGTTGCTTGGACTTAAATGAAAATGAGTTTGAATGTTTATAAAAGGAATGCAATCTTGAAATCTCTTCAGTTTTCCATAGCATTGTAGATCTTTTCAAGGCGGCCTTATTCTGTTCTGTGTAATTTGCATTAGCTGCTGTGCTACTTCTGTTCTGGTGTGAGATGGTTGTTTCACCCTTCACTTTTGATTTTCATTCCTTCTCTTATCCCCCTTTATCTTTTCAACGGAATACCTTCTATACAGACAAATATCAGACAAGAAGGAAGATGGTTAAATGTGTAATGCTTTTGGAAATATCTTTGTTTGAATGAGTCTCAGTGGAGGATAAATTGTGAAGTTTTGGCTGTGCTGTTTTCACCTGCTCTGAACTAATCCTAAAATCTGAACGAAAACAAGGTATGGTGCATCATTCTTTTGGCAGTAGTAGTCTGCAAGAGACATCCGTGTTCCAAGAGGAAAGCTTTTGTGACAAAGCACAAAGTGAGAGTATGGTTATTAAGCTGTTCAATGAGACTTTGAAATAATGGCAGAAATCTGAGGCTGTGAAAAGATGTGGAATTCCCATGATGTCACTTCCAAAGCAAATCAAAGCGAGAATTGGCCTTTCTTGTGGTCACAGTATGGCAGCGTTCACTGGTGCGCAAACTGGATCGTGCTGCTAAGAGCAGTCAGCGAGCAGGTAAACGTCGTCATGTTTTCCAGAAGAGAGTTCATTTGTAAAATCTCCTGCCATCTTATAACAAGGCAGGAGTAGGCTGTAAATGCACTGTAAATCCTCTAGAATTTCTTAATGGGAATGTAGTTCTGCTGCTGAGATCTTATATAAGCAAATGGAGCCAGATTTTTAATTCCTGCATAATTCATTTTATTAACTATGACTGAGTAGAACATCTGTTAAAATTCCATAATGTTCAGTTCATGGGAAAAAGACAGAAGCCCCTGAGTTCCCTTTGGAGTTTATCCATTTCCATTAATGTTACAGGAGCCTAGCAGATGTCTTAAAGGACACTATTATGAACGGGAAGACAACGCAAGAGAATGAAGTGCATTGTCCAGTTCCACCGTGTGCAGCAGCTTGCTGGACAGTGAGTCACGTTACTCTCTGCGTGTTTGTATGAAGGGTTCAGCTTTGCACAGCTGAGAAGTGCCACACTTAAATGTGGTGTCCCTCCTGTTGCAAATTGCTGTGGAAGTGTTTGGGAGAACTGAGTGGGTGCTTTGGTTTAATCTAGTTTGTCACTGCTAAAAATATTGCAGAGGGATTGGGCCCTAACTCAGGATTAGGCTCGAAAGGAGCTAAAATGGATATTGAACTCGTCCTCCATCCCTTTGTCTTTAAGGAATCAAAGTTTATAATTCACGTATGACTTGAAAGGAGGCAGAGAATTGCTTTCAAATGGCAGTCCTTGCCGTGCAGGTAGCTCTGCTTGTTGTTTGTATTGCCTCAGAGACTTCTCTGAGAAAATTTGGGCTCTTGGCTTGTATTGGCCTCCGTTCAGGGGGGCAGTAATGGTGAGTCCCTGAGCAGTGGTGTTTGAGAGCTCATCTCAGGGCTCAGAGTTCGACAGATAATTTGATAAATCTGAATCCACTCTTGTGTAGCATGCTGCTGATCTTACTGCCAGGGAGGTAACCTAGCTGTGATTTCTGGGAGTCCGAACTTTGAGAATTAGTACAGCTGTAGGTTTGGCTGGGACACACACGTTTGTTTGTTTTCCTTCGGTGTGTGCAGGTTGGAGCCCTGAGTGAGCACAGGCAGATCCGGCTGCTCTGGGGGGAGACAGCACTCTATGCCATATTCATTTGGGGCAAGAGGAGGAGAATTAGTTAAAAGTAAACCACTGCATTAATGAGTGGCGGCAGTGCTCTGACAAACAGGCAACAAGCTCAAGCTTTCTCCAGGCTCCAAAACCCCAGAGGTAACGTCTCCTGAGGCAGAGGTACTGTGGGCAGTACAACTGGTGGCCTGTCACAGTGCCCCCATCAACGGGGATGGGGAGGAGTGCAGGTGACTGACCAAAACCCCACTCTTAACTGACTTACTACCAGGGAGAAGGTGAGAGGCACTCTGAAACAACTGGAAGCAAAATGAGTCTTAAAGACACACCTGCTGCCTTTCCCTAAATTTAAAGGGTCAAGGAACAAAGGATGCTGAAAAGGTTATGTATAAAAATGTGGAAGCCAGCTGAGAT